AATATAATTCTAAATTGATATTTACTAAGTCAGCCATTTCAAGATTCCAGAGTCATCAGAACTGGAAAGCACAATGAAGTCCTCACAAAGCCATATCCTTGGCAACTTTAACAAATACCCAAATACCCAAAGTGCAAGCTGTGTTCCTAACCTGGCATACTAGCAGCTGAGTTATGTCCTTCAAAGTATGTGTACCCTTAGAAATATGTGTACAGCTTCTACTATCTTCACTGAGGACTACCATACCCATGCAGAATGTCTGGCAAAATGTGCCCTGACTATAAACAGAAGGAACAAATATATCAGTATAAATAATATAAAATGTGAAAGTGAGGTAACTCCTTTCTTTACAAGGAAAAGATGCCTTTTTATATATATTTAATGACAAAATAAACTTTCAACTTGTGGTTTTTCCCATACGTCCATATTTCCTCAGTCTGAATTTCCAAACAGTGCCTCTCTTGCATTGCAGCACTAGGCAGTCTGAGAAGACGAATTCCTGATCGAATAGTGATTTCATATGCTTTCTACAAAAATCTGAAAAACAGTAAGATCCTGACTTAAAAAGACCAAACTGTCTTGCATTTTGGGCCAAAGAGAAATCAGACTTGATAATTGCTTCATAGTTCTGACTAATTATCCTAGGACAGGAAGTGCAGAGCATCTTTTTTAAGATGTTCTTCACACAGTGGGAAGAACTTTTTAGGTTACTGATTTTTATAACCAATGGTTAAACCTGTGGCGTTTTAAAATATTTTTTTCTCAATATAAATGAGGTTTCTGATTGTTAGGTTCTTTAGCCACAACATACAATACAACATGAAGAAAAAGCAAGACACCCTTTGTCTAAGCTATCTGCAGATGTGATAATGCATATAAGCAAAATATAAAAGTCAGAATCTTTGGCTGTGACCCCCACAATCAGTGGGGAGACCTAGAAGTCATGTATTCAGGAAGGGGGAGGGGGTGGTTAATGTACTTGAAATTATTTTCATTTGCTTTGTGATCTCTAAGCTTGACTCTTTTCTCTCCCTCTCTGTCTTTTCCTTACTTATAGAAAAGTTGGGATTCTCCTGTACATCACAGTTTTATGAACGTCAACCAATATTGTAAGTTCATGGATAAACTTCTGTGAGTTCTGAATATTTTCCATTTGGTTGTGAAGATTTAGTCACAAACGCATCCTTTTATACTAGAATGCTATTTTTCAATCAGCTTGTTAAGAAAAATTCCTTAAAAACACCCAAACAATCACCTCAGGTAATTATGATAGGACATAATGTCAAAATCTATGCATGTAAATAAATAAATAAATAAATGCCCTCTCTCACAGCACAAATGTGATTATTTTAATTGACTTACACCAAGGCTATATTGCTCCTTTGCCTGGATCTATCTCGTTTATCTGTCTTTGATCATTTACCATTCCTCCAGTTCAGAGAAGACCAACCTGCAGGCAACCATGTTCTCCCTTAAAGGGACACTGTCAAGTATTTTCATACTGATTTTGTGCTTGCTTTTTCACTTACCCTTGTTATTTAATACATTCTTTTGAGCAGAAATACGTATTTTTCCTACCTGTTTTGTTCCTTCTGCTCCTTTCATGGAGCAATAAGCTACTGTGAGTCTGTCCTACTAAAAAATACTTACTTGTTTGTGATCAGTGTCATCACAGCTGTCAGCACAGTTCTGGGAACAGGATTTATTAGTTAACTTGTGCTCCCTCTGCTGGCTGGCTGGTTGGCTCTGCAGCAGCAGAACAAAAATACCGTGTATAGTCATGCATGAAGAGCAGCTATCTCTTGTTAAGAAAAAGTCCTGACAAGCAGTGGTGGATTTAGAAGAAGAAAAAAATCTGGAACGTGGAACGCATTTTTCCCACCAGATTATAACAGGGAAAAAAAAAAATGTTTATACACGAACTACTTGACAGTATCCCTTTAATTTTTTCATGTTATATAATCCCAAAATGATGAAACACTCATGATGGAACAGACCTACTAGATCATCTAATCTGTCCTACAGCCACAGCACAATTGCTGTTTATAACATATTTCCCAGTGATTAGTTCATCTATTTTCAAACATCTGTAAGCTTCTTTCCCTTAGGAAACTATTTCAGAGCTCTGCAAGATCTGTTTATAGTAGTATACAGCATAACATCATGTCACTTTATTACAATACTGTAACATGTCACAGTAATATGATGGGATGACAAAATGTAGCCCATGAAACAAACCCATTGTTGGAGTCAAGCAGAAGCACATAGCAGCGTGCACAAGAGCTAGCGGCTTGCCATGTGATATGTATGTTAGCTAAATGAGAAGCATCTTTGCACTGCACCCAGAAAGGAGCACCTTGCTATTCTGCTCTCTTCTTTTGACTTTTAATGAATGATATTTGTTCTCTGCACATTGTAAGTACTCTTGGAACTCAGTTGTCTGTCTTCACTCCGGAAGAAAATAGACTTAATTTTTTGAAAAGAGAAAAAGAATTGAATTAAGAGGAAATCAACATCAACATCCCAAGCATGGCAGCTTCTACAGGACAAGCTATTGGTGAGAAAGTTTTCAAGGACATATCTACCTGTTTAACCGTACATGAGACTACTGTAATTTGTCTGTCGAGAATAAGAGTAAAGTATACTGCTGATCTTGTTGATCTGTCTCCTGAAGGTCATAAATATTCCTGAGTTCTTGATGATCTTTAACAACCATCCTCTGTTGAAAGCATAACTATGACGCTGTTCACTGCACCATTGCGTTGCATTTTCAACAACTGTGCTCCACTCAACACACAAAAGTCTTCAGTCAGTTTGAATGAATCACACACAACAAAATATTTGGATGTTTAAAGCAGAAGCACCCACGACTGCAAAACCCTGATTAAGTGGCTTTCCGACTCCAAATGTGATCAGCTTCATAGGCACTTAAGCTTTTTGCTTTCAAATTCTCCAGGTTCTTCTTTGCATGCCCATAATTGCCTTTGTCTTGGTAAGGACGAACAGTTCAATACTGATCATATATACCTAAGCCCAGTCAAGATTTAGAGCAGAAGCATTTCTCTAAGTCTCTTTCAGAGCACAACCTGGTAGTCAAAATCAGAGCCTGATTCACACTGGCTGCTTAAAACATCTCATATAACCTAACTAGGAGCCACCATTTTATTTTAAAACTTAGCAAGTCTAAGTGATAGTGATAACCTCTTTATATAACAACCTATCCTTGGCCATCAACATGGATTTAGATACCTAATTCCTATTTGTCCAGTTAGGTATCTTTGAGGATATAGGTGTCAATTTTTAAAACACTCATGGGAAATGGGTAATGCACAGTTCCATAGTTACACGACTAAGGGGTTCAAAACTATACCTCTATCTTTCACAAGTTTTCTCACACCAGACTATAAATTGTAATAAGTAAATGCAGATTTAATTTGCATGTTGAGCTTTGTCATCCAGCGAGCAGGGCTTTTATTAGGAAGGGATGTCTATGGGAGGCCTGAGTTCCAAGGCTGGCCCTCAGGACAGTATTTTAAAAGTCCATAGATAAAATACAGACAGCTGCTCAACAAGTAGATCACAGAGTCCTCCTGTCTCTTCACACTTCTCATTATTAATATTCTACCAGAAATGTTAACAGTACTTCAAAGGGCCACCTTCTCTTACTCAAAGATGCAGTATTAGGGGAAAATTTAATCCTGTTCTAAGCAGGGGAGTTGCACCAACAGTGAATTATCTTCAGTGTCTACCTAATAGGGGCTATTACATACACTCCAGTCTGCAAACACAAGAAAAGTTTACAAAGTACCAAAATGAGAGCTTTATAGTAAGATACTATAATGGACAATGCTGAAATGCTATGCGGCATATATTTTATCACTTAAATGTATTTTGTCAGTATGTGATGAGGTGATTAAGTGCCTAACTTAATATATATAAAAACAGATTTTTTTTTTTTTAATACAAAAGCTTTGCAAATATAATGAATTTTGGTCTTGTAGAAAAACAAAATTTGAAATGTGCTGAACTGAAATGTATAATTTGAATTTTTGTCAAAAACAGAAACAGTGTTTGTAGGCAGGAAAGAGGGTGTACCTACCA